ATGCAGAGTTAGGACTTGGGACTTGAAAATAAAAAGCCTTTTCCATTTGAAAATAGGGAGCCTTTTCCATTAAGAGATCTAATAGCAAACTGTTAAAGGGCAAGATGGTTGGCAATTCAGATCCTATCATTTTCTTATTATGTAATAGTTGGGTAAAGAGAGACCTCAAAACTAATAATGCCAAGTACACCTTTGGCAAACTTAATGGTTCATTCTTAAATTGTAGTACTTGATCATAGTTGGTTGAGAGTTTAAGTCCCACCAATTATTTGAATATGCTTACTTGTCCTATTGGATTATAGGTGTTTCTCCCAACCCATGTGCCCATTCCCTTCCCCTATCCTCTTGTAATTGCCCTTGTTAAAAAAAAAAAAAAAACTAGGCCTCTGGCATCATTAAAAATAATATTGAGCATACAAATGATTTCACTAATCAACTAAGTATATATACATCAGCTATGACATTTGAAAGACTGATAATTCCAATAAACTCACAATCTACATAGTAACCATTGCCTATTTTCAGAAAAAAAAAAAAATCTTCAGGGTAATCTAAGAAACTCAGAACTGAAAATAGAAAGCATTTTCAATAGGAGATCCAGAAGCAGACTTTACAATTTTTCCAACCAGGAAGTAGCCAGGCATTTGTGCAGTTCTTTCTTCCATTTGAGGGGTTATCTTGATTAACTTTTTTGATGTAATTGATAGTTAATAATTAATATTTAATAACAAATAATTTATATTATTTATAAATTAAAATATTTAACTTATTTAATTAAAATTAATAACTAATTATTGTTTATAAAAAAATTAAAACAAACACGCCATTAACTTGCTCAGCCTGGGTTTAATAATTAATATTGAGTCTCATTCTCAATATTTGGCACGGCGCACTGTTATTTGGTACGAAATTTTGGGACAAAAATATTGGCAAAAATCCATGCCTAGCCCTCCACTTTACTAACCATCAAAACGTCAGCTTTTCAACTTACAATACAAGACAACTTACAATATAAAGTTTTAATCCGTCATCTTTTTGGTGTAAATGAAAAAATCCAAAATGAATAGCAACTTCATGTGCTTGCTGAAATTCCGTTATTCATTGCTATGTCAGTACCAATGTGGCAATTCCTTACTATAATGAATTACCACTATAGCCAATAAAAGTTAGACTTAGCGAACAAGTCGAATCAAATGGGTTTGAATTAGGTCACCTCAAGCTTAGTTTGACAATGTTGCTCAATATTGCTCTATAGTTATAACTGTTAGAAGTGTTGTGTTATTCTACCACGAAAAGTATTTTAGTGTTTGATAATTATATTTCAAAACAACTACTTATTGCAAAATTACTCAATTAGGCATATTATAATTTAAAATTAAATTAATTAATAATTTAATATATAATGTATGAAAAAGGATTTGGGAATTTTATTAATTTTGGATAAGATGACTTTTGTATACCTTTCCGAAAAAATAGGGATGAATAATTTATCAAATGCATAAATTACAAAAAGTTATATGAAAAATACTGGAGACAGTGTTGTCAAACTTCACCTCAGATTTCACATTTATCAGGTTTAGTCATTTTAGATTTCGAGTTAAGGAAGTAGACTCATGACTTACCTACACAAATCTCGAATTGAATCAAGCATACTCAACTTTTTAAAAAATTAAAATTAGAATTGAAATTTTTTTAATATTTTCTCTATTTTTCTTGAAAAAAATTAATATTAATTAATTATTTAGTTGAAAAAATCTTTTAAATTAACATTAACACTAATAATCTAATAAATAACAATCATTTTATAGTATTTAATTTTATTTTATACTTAAAAATAAAAAATAAAAATATAAGTAATCAAAATTTTAAATTTAAAAAATTAATTAATTTTACTCAAATTACTTTAGGTTGATTCGATTTGACTTTGACCCAACCTAATTGAGTTTGGGTAATTTTAGTAAAGGTTATATTTGATTTTAAATTGATATCTTAGATCCATGACTCTACTTATAGTAAATGAATTAGGTTAAATTTTCAAATTTGATCTAATTTTATTAGGGCTAATAAAAGTAGAAAACTATGTCTCACACATGACAATGGAAAGGATTTGCCATGGTCACCGTTCATAATGGGTAACAAAATTTTATTGTCCATGGTAACAGTCCATAACAATAAGGAATTGTTACATTGGTGCTAACATGGCAATGAGTAATAGTATTTTAACAAGTATATAATACTATCATTCATTTTGGAGATTTTTCATTTAGATCAAAAGAGTAAAACTTTTTTTTTTTTTATGACAAAAAGAAATACAAAGTTAGATTAGTATTTATTTGAGAAAAATCAAATTTAAGATTTGACTTGACGGACTAAAATGCATTTCACCTGTTTCTCACTTTAAAAAATTGTGGTGGTCAGCAACATGGGAACTATAGATAAAAGGGTAAAACTCTTATATCATAAGTTGTGAGACCGACACTTCCATGGTCATGCGAAGGGCTGGCCATGATTTCCGCCCAAAAATATTGGAAGAAATTTTCTTTACCTATTGATCACGTCAGCTCACACGAAGACAAAAATCAAGATTTCGTCCCATTTCTTGTCCTCATCCCGCTGATCATTTTCCTTGGCAGCACTACTAATATTGTGTGCCATGTGCCATTAATTTTTAACACTTTTAAACGACGCGAATTTAAAGATCTATTAATGTAACTTTTAGGCCAAAATTCACATAAATTTTAAAATTCTGAACTCGATTGACATATCAAAATGTCATTATTGTTTATACTCATTAGACCGACAACAATTAGTGGATCCAGGTGATTTTTAAAAATTCAAGTTGCAGTTTGTGGAAGTCGGCATCAAAAAAGCCCACTAGAAGAAACTGGAAAAAACCCAGCAAATTTGAAGACGTTTTAAGTTATTCAAGGTCACGGTACATCAGAAGACGCCAGAATCTCATCCTAGAATTCAAAATCTAAAATTGTCAAAAAAATAAGAAAAAAGGAGCCCAGTACAGGTGACCATATAAGTAGAAATAAGACAAACCTCTTCTCAAATAGACCGAATTTTCCTCTTGAAAAGTACCGAAACTTAAAATTCCAGTAACCCAGTCTGTCCGGGGGCAAGCATGAATGCTCACTGTTTACACAATGCAGCAGCTCTTGAGTTGAGACATCTACACAAATATCAACTAAAATCTATCTATTTGTAACCATTTTTTAGAATACAGATAATAAGTCCTTTCCTTTTCTGATTGCCTTCACCAGCTGAGGCTAATCAATTCTTCATGAAAATGTTGATTGTGCTAAGTGCAGAAGATCTCTCCCTCGCAGAAGGTGACTGCTTAAAATTTTTCTATAACAAGGATGCAAAATTTTGTTCTCAAGCTAGGAATTCCCTCTTGACAGAACTTTATCTCTCTGCAATTCTTCAGCGTCCGTTAAATGGCCCATAAGCTCTGAGTCTCTTCAAATTACAAACGTCTATAAGATGCCTAATTATCAACTTTACTGTTTCTCTTTCTCTTTCTAGATCCTTGGGTTTTTAATTGCTTTCTGTTGCTTTTCGGTGTTACTGGTTTACCATTCCTCACATCCTCACTGCAAGCTTCTGTCATAGCAGCATCTGCCCCAGAAGATACCTCATTCTGAATTTTACTGCAACTAGAACCTCCAGTAATAGTTTTTTGTTCTGGATGAGGAGACTCCTCTGCTTGAGTCAAAACAATGTCCCTTTCTGAACCATTTCTAGCTGACGATGAATGGTTGAAGCACCAGCGAGAATTCTCAAACCACTTGCTAACCTGCAGACCAACAAGAACTTCTGAGAAATGGAAAAAATGGAAAATTGTTGACTAAAAATTTGGAATAAAGAGAAAGACTTTGATGCATAAATTAACAATATGTAGCTGTTATAGCAATGTGAACAGTTGTCACCTGCTTGACAGTAATTCCAAGCTCTGCTGCCAAACTTTCCTTTGTTGAGCGGTCAGGATACTGATGTATCCTAAAAGATTCATAGAGTTTCTGCAAAGGAAAGTATGCAACAGATCAAGAGAAATATCAATCCTTTTCATTCATGTCATTTTCTTTTGGTACAGGGTGAAAAGGAGTTCAACAAATTATAGTAAATCATGGAATTCAAGGATAAATAATATTTTTATCACGCAGCAGTACAACTTCAAAATACATTTTTTATTTTTTTTATGGAAAATAACAACTTCAAAATGCTAGCAACTTTAACTACTGAAAATAAGTAAAAATAGAACCATCTCACTTAGTTCAGCTTACAAAAAGTAATATAACTAAGATTAAGTACCCAAACTCCCAAATCAATTTCCGAGTTAGAAACACATAATTCGTGCAAGTTTACCTGCTTCACAGTTTCTCCTAGTCTTCTATATGCTGACGACCTCTTACCACTAGAATCAGATCTTGATGGGCCTCCATGCAATTTAGCTTGTGTATTAGTGGTATCTTTAGTCTTTGACTGCTGGTGAGGAGCCCTCCTAGGACTAGGTTCAGACTCTCCTAAATCCTGTTTTGTACCATCAGAAATCTCCGCATTTTTACTTGCAGAATCATTTCCATTTCTTGACACTGAAGCAGCTCTTCCAATATTTTTCTTCCTTTTCCTTGGCACAGAAGTATCAGACCAATCTTCATCATTGCTTGAACTAGAGGGGACACTTCCATATGTCTCCTGTGCATACCAAGGGAGGGAAAACATGGATAGGCAAACCAGAAGAGCACAAACACCAAATAAATAAGAACATGATCAAACTGCAAAAGAAAATGAAATATTAGATTTAAACTTCTCTCACAACGGCATCTGCCCTGGAAGGTACCTCATTCTGAGTTTTACTGCCACTAGAACCTCCAGTAACAGTTTTTTGTTCTGGATGAGAAGACTCCTTTTCTGTTTGAGTCAATCTAATGTCTCTTCCAGAACCATTTGTAGCAGCAGCTTCATCAACTGATGATGGATGGTTGACAAACCAGCGAGTATTTGCAAACCACTTGCTAACCTGCAGCCAAAAAGAGGTCCTGAGAAACAAAAAACTTGGAAAATGTTGACTGACATTTCAAATAAACAGAAATATCAAATATGTTGACACAAATTAATGGCATGCAGCTGCAGTAACAATTAGAGAAGCTGTCACCTGCATGGCAGTAATTCCGAGATCTGCTGCCAAACTTTCCTTTGTTGCACGGTCAGGATACTGATTTACCTTAAAAGATTCGTAGAGTTTCTGCAAAGGAAAGCATCCAACAAATAAATAGCAATATCAATCAAGCCAAAATCTTTAGCTTTGTTTTTCTACCTGTATTTTTCTTTAGGCACAGGATGAGGGGGAGTTCATCCATCAAATTCTAGTATTGAAAAATAAGTAACATTTTTATCTTAAAGCAAAAACACTAGCAACTTTAAGTACTGAGAAGGAGAAAACCCAACATCATCTCCATTAATTTAGCTTAAAAAAAAGTACCATAACTAAAATTAAGTACTGAAACCATCAAATTAATTTCTGAGCGAGAAACATATATAATTCATGCAATGTTTACCTGCTTCACAGCCTCTCCTAGTCTTTTATGTGCTGAAGACCCAGTTCCCTTACCACTAGAACCAGATCTTGAAGGGCCTCCATGCAATTTAGCAGGTGAATCACTTGTATTTTCAGAGTTTGCCTTTTGGTGATGAGTCCTCCTAGGTTTATGTTCAGTCTCTTCTAAATCAGAAATGTCTGCATTATTACTTACAAAATCATCTCCACTTCTTGATGCAGAAATGGCTCTTCCAATACTTTTCTTCTTTTTTCTTGGTGCAGAAGCATCAGACCAATCTTCATCATCACTTGAACCAGAAGGGAAGTTGCCATATGTCTCCTGTACATACCAAGGCAGGAAAACATGGATAGACAAACAAGAACGAAAACACCAAAAAATTAACAACACGACCAAACTGCAAAAGAAAAATAAGAATCTCAATAAATAAGGCAATGACTTAGTTTGATGCATTATGTTTAAACAGATGCCTGGATCCATGCCAGGTTGTATTCCTACCTATGCAAATTTGAAAAATATGCAATACAATTCCTTTTTTAAAACATAGAAATACAACTCTTCTTATATGGCAAATTGATAGCCAAGCTTGTATAAGCTAATGCAGATAATTAAAAAAAAAATAATAATAATAAATAAATAAATAAGAAAAAAGAAGCAAGTCATTCAGGCCAGCACCCTAGGCTTTCCATTTACACAACATTTTTAGAAGAAATCAACATATGGCCAGGGCATAGCACAAAGATTAAGAGATGCAAATTAAAAAAAAAACAAGAATGCATCTTTCCCAGCAACATCTCAAAAAAATAAAAATAAAAATAAAATAAAAAAAATGGAGTAACTTATTTCAAGTTAATCCAGCAGGAAGATGCCATATTATTTGTAGCATATAACTGGTAAAAACACACAGCTGTGCATGCAACAAGGAGAGAACTATTATAAAATAATATTCTGAAATGACACTCACATCATATAACTTTTTGTAGTCCAACCTTTCAATGCTTCTTTTCTCATTAACAGGTGCAGAGCCATCTTGTCCAGGTGCTGACTCTAATATGGACAAGCGATCATTATTCATAGACTCTTTCTTTCTGCCAATTCTAGAACTTTGTTCCTTAGAATCTTTGGAAGGAATAACAGATGTGAGGTCTTCATCTTTATTATAAGATCTGTTCTCTTCAAGAGTAGTAGCAAGATCCTCAGAATCAGATGTAAAATCAGAACTTGAACTTTCTTGCTTAACTGTCTCATCATTATCTGGAGCATCAGGATCAAAATCATCATCCTCTGAATCATCAGACGGAAGGCCCAAGCACTGCTCCTCATTCAGTGGGACCTCTAGTTCTTCAGAAGCAGAAGTAAAGTCAGATTCATTCGAACTTGATTCATTTCCTGAATCCTTCTCATCAGTTTCTTGATTATCAGGATTGTAGTCATTATCATCAGAATCATCTGAAGGAAGTCCAAAGTTGTGATTTTGAGTATGTCCAGTTGCTGCTGCCTCAGGAAAAACCTTCTACAAAGTGAAGAGGAGCATTATGAGGAATTCAAATGTTTAACAGACAATATATTGACTAATACAGTAAAGATCAAAGGAGTTATCTTGGACCTCCCAGCTATTATTTATTGAGAGACTTGTTCCTTGAGAATCATTAAGCAAGTCAATACAATCAACCTTGCAGTCGCATCCAGGGCATAACCAACCCTCATCATCAGGAGGAACTGTTGGGGAAAAAAAAAAAGGAACATTAATGGTAACATATCAAATGGAAACCATTGGACTCATTTATTGCTATCAAGAAGGCATTCAAGATATTACTGTCTTCATTTAACAATGGAGGGTCCAAACAGTATTGATGGAATCCACGGTCACAGGCACCATCACACAGTATAATATCATTGCCAGCAGACAAGTCTTTGGACCCACATTTTGCACAGAATATCTGCATTAAATGGATGTCAAGCCTAAGCATCTAAAGTTCCAAGATTCAAATCATTACAATCAACAACAAACTAGCAATTATTTAAACATTGGTATAACCACAATTCTCCTACATCCTCACTGTCAATCTCTCCTTCAGAATCAAATAAAGATTCTGGAAGCCTTCCTTCAGCACATAATGAGTCAAGATGTTGAAATAGATCTCTGATTTTCAACTTGCGTCGAAGAATTTCAGATGTAGCACGTTGAAGCTCCTTCTCTGGCTTTAACTTTTCTAAGCTGCAGGGTAATAGAACAGTCAAAAGCAACAACTTGAGATAAGCCATCTCCAGGGAAAAGGACAGTAACACAACCTATCGTGCATGCACAACCACATATGCTATTAAGGGAACAACCAGCAAACTACCAGTTTTTGGCTGCAGGAAGATACAAAGGAACAACATTAATTTGGACTGAATCAGTATTTCAACTTTGGGCCCCTTGAAATATTTCCAGATCATATCATCAACTTTATGTCGAATTTATCTGTTCAGGCTCCAATTATTGGCCTAAAACCTAAAATAAATATATGGAGAAAGGGATCTATCTAAAAGCAGATTCATCTTCAATTGTGCAATCAGCTCATCACTGATCACAGATGTAATTTCCAAGTACTTTCTGTTTCTGCCTCTTTCATGATCCTGAAATGGCAATCTAGGCATGTTAAGCGACCTTCAAAATCACTCTGTGTACTCTAACTTTAGAATTTCTTTGGGCATTTTCAAGCACTGTTCTTTTCTCAAAACAAACCAATTCTAGATCAATTTATGAAGTTTGATTTTCCATTTTGCTTATAGATGTTTCTCAAATTTTAAATGTTTAAAATGCTATGGAAGGAATTCGTACTAAATCCAATCTCACGTCATCTTAACTATCTAGCCTTTTTTTTGTTTTTTAGTTGTGACTAAACTATTTAGTTGATAGTACATAAACATTACATTCAATTAAATAATCTGAGAGAAACAAACAAGACGAGCAAATGATATTGCTTGAAAATATGCATTCAGCCCAGTTAAGCCAAAATGTTCCACCTATGATGCCTAAAGCACAAATCAAATCCTTCTAACAGGATAAATTAAGAAAAATTGCAATTGAAATCATTAAACTACAATTCCAATCCCATTTAGACATTCATATTCTTTACTTTGTTTGCTCAAAAAGCATGAAAATGTTTTCGAAAACTAAGACCAAAAAGACTAATCCATCAAATCCTCTGGTATAGATCAAATGGAGACATTTTAAGAATGTTTTATTAAATAAACTTGCTTGAAAATATCCAAAGAAAAAGATATAATAAAATGAGCACACCTTAATCCCTTCCAGCCTTCTGTAGAATAAGCAGTAATTAGGCTTTGCTCATAATTTATCCGGTTCAACAAATATCTCAGATGTGTCCTGATTCTTGAATATTCATCAGACACATTTCTCTTTGACCTCTTCTTCCTCTTCCTCCTCCTTTTTGTCTCTCCATTAGAACTAGCATCAGCTACATTATTACTCACCTCAGCAGCTTTGGATTTCTCATGTGATCTGGAACGCAGAACTCTGTCACTATTTCTTAGCATACGGTTATTCTTTCTTGTTTTCGAATTTTTCCCATCAGTCAGTTGAGCAGAGTGATTGACTGAATATTTAGGTGGTATTTCTGACATCTCAGGGCTAGAATCTTTTGCTTTGTACTCAGGAAGAGACAACAAAGGTTCAATGGTGGGATTGTTAGTGGCAGCTTCAAGGGAGGATTCTACATGTACAGCACTCTTGTTTGCAACTTGAGGAAGTTGTCCCAATGGTACAGTGGCCCTATACCTAGATACTGTAGTGCCACCTTCTACCAGTTCAGTATGTACAAGTTCATGGCAAAGGTTGGGCTCAAATTCAATCTTATCAATTAAACTTTGTGCATCTTCAAGATTTTGACATGAATGTTTGTAGCAAATTTTCTTGTCTGTATCTTCAAGAACTGGTTGCAAGGTTTGATTAAAAGTACAATAAGATAATGCAAAACTGGTTTCTCTATTTTCATCTTGTATAATTTCAGGATCAAGCTGGTGATTCTGTTCCGACAGTTCCCTTCCCAGTTCCTTACACAAATTTCTTGAACCAGACTCACTTGCATTTTCAGTTGATGGTTTCAAATGCTCTGAAGTAGCACCCTTGGAAAAATTTTCAGAAAATTGTTGCAAGTTTTCATTACCACAGCCAGAAAGCAAAGCACCACTTTCTTCTCCAGGTTTGTTTTGTACAATTTGAGAATCCAGCTTGATATTCTGTTCAGATGCTTCATCTTGCTGGAATTCTGAACCATAAACATCAATCTTTCCTGACATAGTTTGTTGAGTGCATGCATTATTATTGGTCCAATTAAGCTCACTAACATCTTCCATGGATCGTTCCACATGTTCAGGGAAAGAAATCTTGACCACATCTTCTGAAAATAGTTTCAATTTTTCATTAGTAACAGAATCAGATACCATAGTGCAGGTTTCTCCTGGTTCGTTTTGTACCACTGCAGTGCTAAGCTGATTTTTTTGTTCTGATGATTCAGAATGTGTGCGTTCAGTAACAATATCATGTGTCTTCTCTGATGTAATTTGTTCAGAGGAAAAATGACTATCATCCTGACTATTTGGTTGTGAAGAAGAAAGACCCATATGCTCGCCCCTAATCATATCAGTTAAGTGGCTGACTATGACATACACCGATGCCCCTATATACCATGATGAATTGGAAGATTTCAATTAAAATATATATAAATTAGTAAAGACTAACAGCAGTGTTCAAGCACATGTCATCATGAGTGTATCTTTGTGTGAGAGAGAGAAAAGGAGAGGAAAACTAATACTAATTAACCATCCACAAGTAAAGTACAGACAACTTAAAAATCAAGAATGATTTTAGAACCAATGCGTTCTTCTTTCCAATTACTTCATTTGAATGCTATCACCCCTCACTCATCATTGCTAAAGGACGACTTAAGGAAGGTTTCGAGTAAAAAATAAAAAATAAAACTACAGTGTGATAACAAATCAGAATAAAAGCCAACAATGCAATGAAGACCACCAATATAGAGGAATGTTCTAGAGTAGCTTGAACATAATAAAGGCATAATATGAAGCCAAAAATAGATCTTAAGAAAAAAGTTTAAAAAGAGAAAGAAAATCTAATGGAAACAGTACTGAAGCTCAAGATATAATAAGCAACATGCAAAGAAGTTTCTGAAAGCAAACTGGAACAAGGGAGACGACAAAACAAGCTATTCTGCAGTGACATTGTCATTGTAGCACTATTCTTTGCCATTCACTTTCTTTCTTTTGCACCAATTATGTAAATGAGGCACGCATGCACTAATCCTCCTTCACAAGCCACAACCAACAAGATTTACCAAAAATAAAAACAAGCTATTACTGTTCAAATCAAACCCTACATGATAACAACAATCAATGCATTTAAGAATAAGTATATCTCCTGCTGCTATTGGTCAACAAGCATCCTATCGAGATGAACATATACTAAACGCACAATGCTGCCCTAATCCAGCAAAGATAAACTAAGATTATTTAGCAACCTAAAATGAGAAACCATTTTCTCTTTCCATTTTCCTCATTTTCTAAGCAAACAAACAGAAAACGAAAGGAAACAAAAAGAAAAGTAAGTTCACAACGCAGCTAAAGTTACATTCTAAATTTTGTTGCGAAATGAGAGCAAAGAACAAGATGCCAATTCGAAACTGTAGAAAAACAAAACAAAACAAAACAAAACATTCTCGGAGATTTTCCTTTCTTTTCCTCCAAACAAGAGTGCGAGGAACTGACCTTGAATCTCGTAGACTCCGCAGATATTATCAGAGGAAGAGACGGGGAAGAGACGGAGGTTTGCGCCGCGATTACGGAAAGAAGGAAAATGTCAGAAAGCGGAAGAAGAAAGAGAAGTGCGTAATTATGAAAAGGGCCTGTAAATCTGGGCCACCAACAATGTTTCTTGCTATTTTGCGCATGCGGCGTAGGATGTTTCTTTTTCTCTATTTTTATGGGCTGGGCTCTGATCCACTGGATTGGATGACTGTCCGTTTAATATGTTCGAAAAAAGAGTGTTTTGAATTTTTAGTTCTTAAAAAAAAAAAAAAAAAAACATAGACTTGAATGGTGTTTAAAGGGGGAAAAAAAAAACTTTAACTTTCGTAAAGAGTCAGTTAAGTTCTACAAGAAATAAAGAATTTGGAGCTACTTTGAAATGAAAACTTTTTTAGAAGATGTTGCAATCAAGATCTTCTCTCTCTATTTGAGAATTCAAATTCAAATCTTATAACGTAAGAGAGGAGAGGAATTTAAGAAAGTGAAATTATAATTTTTTTAGTTTAGCAATTAGGGTATTTTTGAATTAGTTTGTACTTTTTATGTTTTTTGAAATTAATTTTTTCACAATTCAATCAAAAATATGCCATCAACAAAGAGAATTTGCGATTAATGAATTCATAAGGAATTATCTCCATATTAGTTTCTCCAAAGAATGCATCTTATTCAATAAAGTGGAGACCAAACACCTTTAATAATTAAGTCGCAATCCCCTAGGAGGAAAGCCAAAGTTATATAACTCATGATAAAATATTCAAATTTAACCAAAAAAAAAAAAAAAAAAAAGATTGCTATGTTTTGCAGTCTAAATTGTAAAATAGAAAATCTTGATAAAGGACAACCTCTAATATTAAAAGATTTACCTCTTATCTAATAATTAACATTATACAATTTGATACAATTCGTATTACAATATTTTGAGATACAAACTTCCCTAAAAAAACCTATTCCAGAAGGAAAGGGCTTTCCATTAACTAAACAGCCCTTTGGGCTTTTGCCAAACAAAGTCCATTGGACTAGGCATTCACATATGTGCGAAGTAACATGCACACAAAAGTTATGGAAGAAAGGCCCTATAAGCTTTGAGCAAAACACGAAAACCCTTTGATAGCATGTCAAGAACTATTTTATATAAAAATTTAAGGTGTATTGGTTTGGCTAATTTTTTAAGCATATAACTTTTTTCTATAAACAATTTGTTAAGGTTTTTAGAAATATCAATTAATAAGTTAATTTTGTCAATGACTTAAATAATTCAAATCATCTCTTTTCGTTGAAAATAAAAAATCTTGAATTCAAGTCACATA